ATTTGCATATTGCACAGAGTCCGATTTGATTTGGATATACGATCTAGCGTACGACTGTTTCCCTATTTTGGCGCATAGTATACTCAGCCCTTATTACTTTTATTACCGTTATTGTATTGTTGTATTATCGTGTTGTTATTGTTGTGTTGTTATTGTTGTGCTGTTATTGTTGAGTGTCTTTCTTATCAAGGTATCAAAAATGAACAATAAGAGAAATAAACGTGGCGTCTCGAAGAAGCCGCATTTAAATACGCACAGGAAAAAAAAACGTTTTCCAGATAGAAAAGTAGGTACCAAAACAATTATGAATTTTAGCATTCATTTTGCCAATAAATTAGACTATACGTAGTTACTATTATAACTATATTTTATATGTTATTTTAGCTTAAAAATGACAGCAAGGTTTCGCATATGCATTCTCTAACAGAGACAGATGGCATGGATCTTCAAATTCAGGTGTGTATACCCTTTTTTTTTTAGATTTGCACCAGAGGCTGATATCATTTCTGGCAATTCTGATTAAAAATGCAGTAAGTTTACTTCATGACGTCGATAATAGTATTGTAGAGCAGTTTAACTCAATCATAGCTAAATTCATTGGGGGTAAACGGATTAATTATTGCAAGAAGAGATCCTACCAAGGAAGATGTGCTGCAGCCGTAGTGAGCCACAATACACAGCGACCTGTTTGGGTGATCCAAAAGCTTCTACTCCCTAGTTTCAGTCCAACCTCTTTGATTGCTAAAGTTGAAGAAAGGAGAGCGCACAAAAATCTGAAAAGGAAGCTGAAACCAAGGAAAATTAAAATCAGAGATAGTGATACTAAAGAGAACGCATCCTATGGGGAATTCTGTGTGAAGCCTGACATGAGCAACGAAGATATAGAGGCTGCCAAGGTAGAATTCTTGAAAAAACTTGCAAAAACCGACTCCAAAATTTCCCAGATCGAGCAAGCCACAAAATCTCAGGGTTGCAATTTGTGGCGTCTTCGTCGAAGAATGAGGTTGACTGCGTCTCGGTTTGGTGAGGTTTGTAGAAGAAGAGATACAACAAGTTGCAGAGCTCTAGTAAACGCCATAATATACCCAACCGAATTCTTTAGCAATGCATGTGACTATGGAAAAAAGCATGAAAGCGTGGCAAAATCAGAAATAGAGAAATCATATTCGCAATCAGAAGTACAATCTTGCGGGTTGTTTATTGATAGGACCCATCCATTTCTGGCAGCATCGCCAGATGGTTTGATAGGCGTAAAAGGTCTGCTAGAAATTAAATGTCCATGGTCGGCTAGAGAAATGACCCCTGAAGAGGGCATTCTGAACAAAAAAATTACGTTTTGGATAAACGATGAAATAAATAAAAAACATAAGTGGTATTACCAAATTCAAGGGCAGCTACACGTTGCACAAAGAGAGTACTGTGTGCTTGGTGTTTGGACCCCGTATGGTTTGAAAATAGACGTCATTCGAAAGGATGACGTTTTCGGGAAAAATGAAATGGAAGAGAAATTGAAATTTTTCTACATGAACTGCTTGCTCCCAGAACTGGTCGATCCCAGAAAAAGCAGAAATATGCCAATCCGCGATCCCGATGTGATCTTGAAGGCACAAGAGAACCGTTTGAACAAGAAAAAGAGTTCTTGAGAATTGGCTATTTTTGCTGTACTCGGGTACCAAAATGGAAGAGATTAGCATATTACATTGTACTCCGTTACTAACCCCTTCGTGTCGGCAAATGCGGTGTGCAGATCTCGCTTTAGCAGCGATGTGCGAGATGTTATGCTAATCTCTTCCATTTTGGTACTAGTACCAGATGTTCACTATTTATTGTATATTATGTATATATTGTTTATTTAAATAAAAGTCAATCGTCAGGCTCAATAGCACGTAGCATCGGCTAGCTTTATCTAGTCTGTTAGATGGCGAATATTGAAATGTCACATTGACACGTTAAGCGCCACAGTAGAATCTGAAAATCCAGTCCACTGGGCCAAACTGTTATTATTGTCAAATTAGCTTGTTTTAAGTTTCGGTTTAATATTTTGACTTGACTTTTTTCTCAAATCCTATGATTTTTCCCCTTTTTTGATTTTTTTTTTCTGATGTACTAATTGTATGTCGCGTGGCCCACAGACCAGTCGGGTCGCGTGGCACATAAGTCGCGTCGCGTTTTTTGCAAGTCAAGACTTGCATCATGTCGCGCGTTGAGCACTGTTTCGTGTCATTTATTATTGAAGCGTTGTTGGTATTGTACGTCATCTTGTCCAAATTGCTTTACTGTTTATAAATTATTGAATACCAAATTTGTGATGTCGCATTACGAAGCGGAGCAAAAAAGGCTTGAACAATTGTGTAATGAAATACTATCGGATGAAGAGAGTGGCAGTACTGAGTTATGTGGGGATGTATACTTATCTGATGCGTATTCTCCAAGTGGTAGTGAATCAGATAGTAGTTGTAGTAATTCCATATTTATCTGTATTACTGTTTATTTATACCGGTATTTTGTTTATTCCTGCATAAGATTTTGTCAATCTGTTTAGTTTATAAGAGTTCCTCCATATTTGTGTTCGTTAGAATATCGACATTTACCATAACTTACTGATTTGCTGTGAAATTACTTTGTTCATTTTTGAATGAGAATGTCTGATTATTTTATAAGATTTGCTTTTTGTTTTAGATTTGTAGAATATCCTCTTTTTGTAAAACTCTATAAACAACGTGTTTTTGAATGTTTTCATTTCCAATTCAGTATAATTTGGTCCCTCAGGCCACGGACTCTTGGTTCCCGTAAGAAAATCACATCAGCATGGCACACGTCTTACGTTACGCGGCCAAATATAACTGCCAGCAGTGAGACATATCATGTGTGTCACGAGGCCCAAAGCGCCAAATGAGCTGCGACACACGCATTATATCTCATGACGTGTTAAGTTTATTTTACGATACTCCATAAGGTTAAAGCTAAACAGCAAGTGACATTTTATTTGTGGTAAATGCGTTCACTATAATTATTATTTTTAACTAAAAAGATTACCGCCTCCAATGACCCTGGAACCACCTGGAAACTTTTGGTCACAAAGTTCTGTATTTTACCACACATGTCAAGTCTTTTCATTTGATATGTATATTGGGGGTTTTGTACAAAAATATGTAACTCGCAATTTCGAAACGGCGGCAATCTTGGAATCAAATTTTTAGTGAAGTACTGTATTCTACAAGGCGACGACTCTTATTTGAGATATTAGCAAGTATGTTATCCGCCATTTTGTAACGGCCGCCATCTTGATTTGAAACTGTTTTCGTATTACTGTTTTGTACAAGTGCTTCCATTTGATATCCATATTGGGGTGATTGAACAAAAATGATTTTTTGTGGTATCACCTCTGAAGCATGGCCTATTGTATAAAAAGAAATGATCAAAATCGATTAAAATTTTCCCCTCTTTCATTGAAGTGTATTAAAAATATCACTTAATGGTCCGATGTTTATCTCGAACGACCGACGTTAAAACTGCTACTGTTTAACTTGGGACAACAAATTATCTGAATACGTCCTTTCTTAGTCCGTACACACCGCCGCGTTGCTTCGACTGGCAGCACGAGATAGTGGATAAAATTCGTGTAAAAGCCTATTTGCAGAGGTTTTCGCGCTTCAAAATTGACGCTTCATTTTTGAATATTTTTCAATGAAATTTTCACAGTGCACTAAAAACAAGACTCCACAGGGTGCTATAGAGCCACTTTTTCGTTTTTTCCTCTGGGTTATTTTTAAAAAAATCGAGAAGTCGAACAACAATTATCTGCACTTCCACCCACCATAACTCCTGAAAAAAAATTTCTTTTAGAAAAGTGGCTCTATAGCACCCTGGACAATTGTCTTCTTAACATACTGTATAAATTTTATTCAAATATATAGAAAAATGGAGCGTCAATTCCGAAGAAGCTAAACCCTTGTAAATGGCCTGAAACTCACTGCGTCGGAGCCGCCTTAAGCGCGTATGTGCACGCAGCGTTAGCACATGGTAGTATGGTGACACGCTCTTTACTTACTTCGTTCGTTACACTTGTTAAACTACTGAAAGTTTCATTGCGATTTAAGCGGTCTAAAATATCACATTATTCTTTAATTGTCAATGTTTTGTGCTTTCGCTTCTGAGTTTGTGATGACATTACTAGGTACGATACTTAATACACAATGAATAAATAGTAAACAATGAACGCACGCTAGGGCGTACCGCTATCACCAGTAGTCAAATTCAAACTAAGTAAAACAATGCTTACGCGTCGAGCACGACAGCGGTGGCGCGTACAAGTTGTAACCTGTTCAAACCTGCGTATCTACATTAGTGAAGATTGTCAAATATGTATGTAATACTTGTTCAAAGACATGTTAGATTACAGGGGGCGCCAAATTAGACAGGGTCTGGATTATCGGGGGTCCACTGTATTGGATTTGCTGTTGATCATGTATGTTGTTAAGAGTTAAGAAAATACATGTTTCATACAGATATTGTGATGTTTTCTTTAATAACTTACATCAGTTTCCCTGAAAGAAAAATATCAAGTTAAGTAGTTATGATTTTTTGGGACTTCCACCAAAAATTCTTTTCAAGGACAGGAAGACAATGAAAAATACGATGATCTATCAAACAACCCCCCCCCCCCCACACACACACACACACATACACACGTAAACACATCAGAAATACGTCACCTGTCAAGAATAGGCAACAGCAAAATCTCTTTTGTCAATCAAGAACAAATAAAAAAAACGCTCATGATAATACATTATGAGTTAATAGCCTGACAAGCCCCTCAATTTTAGGAAAACTGGATCGATTGAACTAACTCGTCAACTATGAAGACCCAATTACACATGCAATTAATATAATGATATTCGATGGTCACGTCAGCGACCGCTATAATTTTCATAAATTAATTACATCGATAGAAATACAGGTTAAAATATGCATGATGAATACCGTTCAGTTGCTTCACGATGATGGTTGACGTCGAAGGCAATCCCTTTTGCTATCTAAAGCCTTTCACGTTTTTATTACGAGTTTTTGGCATGTATCCATGTTCCAGTAAGCGTAAAACGTACAAGGCTTACGTTATAATTTTAATCATAGTGACATTATATGCCTTTATTGCCTCTATGTTAACTAAGGAATCGTCGATGTTTGTGGAATATCCAAAGGTAATAATCAGAGCAGTAATATTTGCAAGATTTGATTAAACTTACATTGCCGAAAGCACAACTTTTGATATTTCAGTCATGCTTGCATATCCTTTGTGCAGATGAATAGAGTTCTTAATTCCGATTTCAAAAATGTATTAAATGTCATACATTGGCAGTTTCAAACCCTAATTATACCAAAAATTTCATTTGTTTCGTATACCAGACCTCTGCCTGAGTTTGGAAGACTGGGAAGGGAAATAGACCGAGCAGTGAACAATGTACATAGAAGAGTCAAGCCTTGGCTACAAAATATCGGACAAGGTTTTGAACATCTACTATAATTTACCTCTACTTATTCACTATTCACTGGACAACAAATTTTAGTTTTTTAATTGTATCTTGTGGGAAAAGTGCACTTCTTTGTTAATTTTGGGGCGCTGAATCCAAAAATGACAATGAAATAAAAAAAATAGTTGCGGTTTACAAAAAAACTTTTTATTTTTAAGGATATATTAAAAAAAGTAACAAGATTCATATACTTACAAGAATCACTATATGCGCTGTCTTTTTGCTGTTCTTTTATGGATCGTTTCTGGAGCATCTCTACCAAGAGTCCAACAGTAGTCTGCAAGCATGGAAGGATTCCACTTTCCCTGGTACCTTTTATCCATTGTTGAAATATCCTGATGAAAACGTTCGCCGTGCTCATCACTTACGGCTCTGCAATTGTCAGGAAAAAAGTCCAGGTGTGAGTGTAGGAAATGTATCTTGAGAGACATATTACAGCCCATCTTTTGATACGATGACAGCATATTTTTGACAAGGGTTTTATAGTTGTCAGCTTTTCTATTTCCCAAGAAATTAGTGACCACCAGACGGAAATCATTCCAAGCAGTTTTTTCAATACCTGTTAAAGTATTTTCAAACTGCGTATCTTTCAAAATATTTCGAATCTGTGGCCCAACAAAAATACATTCTTTAACCTTTGCCTCACTTAGTCTTGGAAATTTCTGACGCAGTTATTGAAAAGCTGACCCATCTCTATCTAATGCCTTGACAAAGTTTTTCATTAGGCCCAACTTGATATGCAGTGGTGGTAATAAAATTTTTTTCGAATCTACTAATGGCATATGCTGTACATTTTTTTGACCTGGCTCTAGGAATTGACGAACAGGCCAGTTTTGTCTGGTGTAATGAAGTGCCTTTGCCCGACTGTCCCATTCACACAAAAAACAGCAAAACTTTGTGTAGCCTAGCTGCAGCCCAAGTAAAAGTGCAACAACTTTCAAATCGCCCAAATATGCCATTGGTGCTCATCGTATTCTATGCATGTCAATAGGTACTTCATATTGGCATATGATTCTTTCAAGTGAACTGCATACCCTACAGGAAGAGATGGTAAGATATTTCCAATATGCAATAACACTGCCTTTAAACTCAATGTTGAACTGTCTATAAACAATCTCCATTCTTCTGGGTTATAGTTTATATTTAAAGCCGCCAGTAAGCCGTTAATGTTACTGCAGAAAACCAAGTTATTCTCCATATTTAAAAATGGTTCTAAGTCTTTGTGGCGTTTACGAAAAACACATACCGAAACATCGTATTCTAACAAGTTCCACTGCTGCAGTCTTAATCTAAGTAACTCTGCCTTACATTTTGGAAGTTCTAAATCTCTTACAAGATCATTTAATTCTGACTATGTTATTTTGTGCGGTTGGTGGCATGACGTGCTCAGTATAAACTCAGGATCTCTTGACGTTGATGGCATATCTTCTTCCTGACGAATCACTCGATCGCCATGATCTGATTCGTTTTCTGATTCGCAAGTGTAGGATTCTGGGGGTTTTGGAATAGGATTTTCATCACTGTGAGGCACAGGTCTCATCGCAGATGGTATGTTTGGGTAGTTAATAACCGATTTTTTTTTCTTGGACATACCTGTGGCTTGTCCAACACAAGGTACCATGCAAAAGTAACAATCATTAATATGATTTGTAGGCTCTACCAAACCATTGGGACAGCAAAGCGCATAGACCGTTTTTTGCCATTTGCCCACTGTTTGTCTTGATCACCTAGTTTACATCCGAAATAAAGCTGATATGCCTTTGTTATTAGTAGACCGTCTCTGAGACGCAAAAGTCACATCACCACACACGTAACAAAACTGATCTGGATTGTTTACACACTTCCGAGACATCTTGCATGAACGCTGTCAGCCAACTGAGGAAAAAATGGCTAATATAAAACAATATAATGTACACGTATGTATAACGTAACACAATCATGCCGATTACATCATCTTTCCTTGCCGAATATAAAAATGTAGCACGTGCATTCTTGTGAATTACAGTATATTAACACTGTCACAGCAGGAACACATATAATTACCGTATCTCTAAAACTTGAACTAATATTGAAAAAATAAGTTTCATTCCGGTTTTAGCACGTTAAAAATAGTAATATTTTGTTGATTTTATTTAGGATATTTTTTGGCTGTTGATCAGTGTTATTTTTGTTATTACCACCAATAAAATTTTCATTTCGTGTTCAGGTTTCACCATACGCTTCTATTTTCTTATAATTTTCGTTCCAACAACAAATTCTAAGGAAATATTTCGCTGAATTTAGGACTGAAACTTCATTAAAATGTACAATAGAGTCCATATGAAAAAACGAAGTTGGTGATGGGAGTCCAGAGAAGAAACCTCGAATTGAGAATTTGGCTACGCCATCTTGTAGAGGAGAAAAAGTGACAATGACAGCGAAATTCACTTTGAAATCACATCTCAAGTAAAGTCAGGAAAAATAAAAAATCAATTTACGACAAATCTAGTGTACGAAACCATTGACTAACTGATAATTCCAAGGGCTACCTAGGAAATTCCGTTTTTTTTTCTTCAAATAACTAAGGGTTGTTAATGTCATAATAAAACATATAGATTTCTAGAATCAGAATTAATAACTATCCACCTGTAGAAAAATGCAATGTGGCGTCCATTCGAAAAAATAAAGTTGATGTCGAAGGACAAAGGCGAAACGTTATATTGAAATCATAATTGTGTCGTCTTGTAAAGGAGAAGCAGTGGCAATTTACTTTTATATACCACTACAAATAAAGTCAGGCCAAAATTGGGAAAACCTGTCTTTCTTGCCCTCATTAAAGCAACTTGGTATCTATTACTGTTTTCGGGATCCCAATGCTGAAGGTCGAATTCCACTTTCCACTTTTGGATTCTTGATTTCAAATATGTGAAACCCAATCCTTTGCGGTGGTGCGTTAGGGTTTCTCGTACTCTCTACAAAACTGGCACTTGGCTATGCCCAAGAGCGCCGTATATGTATACAGAGTGGTTTTCAAAATATCCAGTTAAAAAAAATGTAGGCAAATATAAGCTCTTTACTTGGAAAATGCGTTTCTCTCAACAGGGTGATTCACTTTTCAAGTCCAGTATAGGCCCCTTAAAAGAAAGAACTTAGATATAACGTACCGTAGGGTATGGATCACTACTGAATATTTTGTCCAGAGCCACAATTACCTTTGACAACTAGCAAATCAATCACTCACTCAGACATAGCAGCAAATTATTAAACAAAATATATAAATATATATTTCGTATCTTCTCGTCATTGAAACGTCTCTTTTTTTATTTATTTGCCACATTTATACTATAAGCGTAAAATGCATTTTTCTTAAAAAAATACAAATGGTTATATATGTTTACACTTCTGGGTTATCCTCTTTACAAGCTTTATTTCAGCCTTGAAAATTTTGGGGAGTTAAGTCGCTTAACTTTTGAGTTGTTTGCCGTTTCCCAATAAGAGAACGTAAGGGAGGATCTCGGAGGATGAGCAATAGATTCATTTAATGTCTTTTTTATCAAGTAAATATCCTTTATTTCCACCGATGATGGGGCTTAACTTTGAATTGTGAACTTTAGTTTTTGAACCATCCATAAACATACCGAAATGAAGCTTGTAAAAAGCATTACTAAGAACTGTGAAGATACACAGTCCTAAGTTTCTGATAAAAGTACATTTTATGATTATGACAAATTATTATCATTATATAGATGGAAACTGAAATTTAAATATGCGTTAAAATATCGAGAAACTATGGGACCTCATGAGAGTTTGGTCAAAAGTTTGCTACGCTATCTACAAAAGTTTCTGATATATAAGCTATCAAACTAGACTGTTTTTTCGGACAAGGTATCCTGTAGCACAGTGGGGCAGGATCCCAAAAAGCTGGCCAAAATTCAGAAAGTGTCGTAAATGATCTCAAATTCTCTTCTCGGGGGTTTTTGGGGTCGCTGAATATGAATCTGTTATCAGAATTACGATTTTCAAAATGGCGGACCCAAAATGGCGGACATAATTTAACCAATTAGTCAAATAATCCAGTAAAAATACCCAATTGTATTTGTTTATGGCTGATTACGAATTGGTTATCAAAATATTAATTTTCAAAATAGCAGACGCGATATATGGAGGATTCTGTAATTTTTTTTAATTTTTTAGTATTTTTAAATAGAAAATATTTTATAATATTTTTAGGTTTTAATGAGTAAAAAATCTTTCGAGCAATGCTTTTTATTTATCAAAAGTTTTTTTTATAAAGCATTTGCAACAAAATGAATATGTTATTTACTTATAGTAACAAAAATCTTGTACGTCATCTTCAATGTTCGAATCATTCGATTCGAATTCTGTTGTTGACCCGCTTGTATCTACATCGGAATCGTTCCTTGTCTCTTGCCTGGTGACTTCAGGTTGTTTTAACAATTGCAGAGCTTTTTATGTAAAGGCAATTTCCTGATGCTTGACAGAAATTCATCTGATGTTACTAAGAGCCTATTGAAGATGTCTCTCAAATTCGTTTCTCTAGACCATTTTCTTGCATTATTTAATCTGTATTTCTTAATGTCCTTGTTGCGTGACTCTTGGGCCTCTTCAGAATTTTGTCCGATCGGTAAAAGGGCATATTTTAAAAATTCTGCTCCGTGCATCAACACTTTATATACAGATGTTGGCATGGATATAAAACAACGAATAAACGGGCAGTATTTACACAATAGTCTTTGAATTTTTCTTCGTCTATATCATACCCGCTCGAAATTACCTGCAACATAACATTTGGAATAACATTAATCAATGTTTATAAACAGAAAATATACCAACGTACTGTAACACAATGATCAATGTACAGTCACACGACCATTATTGTCGCGCCGCGTATTTCTCCATAAAAATTAGTCTAACTATTCGTTGAGCACTCCTGAGCAGCCAGATTTTTACTATATTATATTTCATATTATGCACATCGCTTCTTTGTCGAAACAAGATCGAGACTCGCTAAGACATTTTTGAAACTACTTTAGAAAATTGATTTTAGAAAAAAATTTACAATTGCTTATGTTTATTTGTTGTAAAATTTAAATATTTCAAACATAAAATAAGCAACAACTGTGCGTAACTATATATTCTGTATACCTGCAGAAAGTGATTCCATTTTGTACAATTCAAATTGAGATAGTTTCTTCTGTTTTACAGCACTTCGAAACTACATGCTAGAATTTTTCGACGTGTACAATTGCTTAGTGCGTACCGAACAACGCCTGAAGGTCGACCGATGTCAAGGCGACCCTAGAGCAAGTATATACCTGCCCTATCCGGAATTTCATTCTATAGTGTATTTACACCCAAGATAGAATGGATGCGTGATTGCCAAAAGCAAGGACGGCCTACAGGGCCGCATTCAGGGCTACCTCCGAATGATGGACTACCATCAACGTGTTGTAAAACAAAGACCACAGTATTTAACAGAAACAGAAACTTAACAAATTACTCAAATACACTTAACAACAACAGCAACAACCTAGCAAGGTGAATACGAAAACACGAGCACGCAGTGATACACGCGACGGACGGTCGCCTGAGTGCAACTCTGGCTGCCCTGACCCTGCCCCGCGCATTACTCCGCCAGGCGACCCCTTGAAATTTAATGGCGAATTGACCAATAAGAGGCGTTGTGCCCACCTGTTACCGAGAGATCACGCGCTAACTGTTATTATTTACATCTCATCTTGAATTTGGATTCAGTTTAGGACTATCCGTAAACAAGATCTAAACGTATATAGACGAATATATACAACTCAAAAATTTGATTTTTGGCCAGCTTTTTAGGATTCTGCCCCACTGTGCGTAGGTGTAGAAGTAGCGATATAAGCCCTATAGTATGATAAACCATACTTCTTTCTTTGAAGCGCCAAAACATGTCATTTGAAAAAAACGTATTTAGGGTGGCAGCGCCCCAAACTGTAACGCTTCCTTTCCGCAAAAAGTCCAGAAAAGATGGAATGCAATGAAGATTCCAACTTTTCTGCACAATCACAGAAAGGGGGTTACCATTAGCTTCCGGTAGCTCAGTCGGTGGCATGAAGACATCTACAGGCGTGTAGCTGTGTGTCGACCATGGCATGGCTAGAGGATAGAAGAACAAACAGAACACAAAAATTTAACAGATTTTATTTAACAAAAAAAAAAAGGCATTTTCATTACATTACAATTTTACAAAAATAACAAAATAAGTTTTACATCTTTGGCGCTGCTATAACGCTATCGACTTATCTTTCGCTGGTCCATTTTTACTCGACTGAAGCCAGGATGGCCAGGGGCTTGAAGGGGAGGTCCCAGTTATGAGGGGTGACCTCCATATAGTGGCTTCACAACCAGTTGTAGGCGAAGTTAAAGGCGATGGCGCTGCCAAGATACATGCATGGGTGAAAATATTGGCCAAGGCTAGGCAAAGTGAAAGGGAAAGAGAAAGGGGGTGGCCCCAATCTGAAAAAGAACCGTGTGCATTAGCAACGTGCCCTAATGGCCAAGGCATTTCCAATCTCAGTCTGCCTCAAAAGAGAATCAACGATTTTCTAGATTAGAATTACATTATATAGTTTGATAAAATCAAACCGAAAATTGGAAATGACTTTCATAAAATAAAATCATGAAATAGCAAAAAAAAAGCGTAAAACAAGATGGTGGTCATCAAAAATTTCTCCACATGCTTCTGATATAAAAACATAATCATCGAATATTCATAATCAACGTACTTATAATTTCACTGAACTATGAATATATATACGCGCACAGAGGTAAAATCGATGTGGATTGATTTCCACCTCGATTTGATTAAAGTTATGGCGAATGATCGAAGTAGTCGAAAATGACGTTCGATGAATATTTTAAAATCGTACAAGAAATAAATCACATATCGATTATCTATAAACTACAGGCAGATCCAGCAATAAAACTGTATAGTATTATAAAACTCACCATTTTTGTCCTATACGGACACACATTCTAGAAAATTCTAGCACATGGTGCTATATAACCTTGTGCTACAGAGAAGAAATTTCTAGCCGTTGTTCGATCGGCGGCTCAAGTGAAAAGGAAGCGCGAGGAAGATCGCAGATCAGGAACTCCGCATCAAGCGCTTCAAGCGGAAAATTTTCCAAGCAAAAAAGCTAGAGATGGGATTAATGAAATGATAATCGAGAAGTGATTTAATAAATACGATCGGACGGTGAAACCGTTACAAAACCTGTGAGCAATATTCGAGGCTAGGTCTTATCAGGGCCTTGTACAGAGTGGGGAGGTGATATGGATAAAAGTACTTCTTAGCCCTAAACAGTTAGCCTATCTTTTTCCTTGCAGCTCCCGCCATTCACGAGATGTGTCACTGCCAGATAAAGTCCTCGGTGATCTAGACTCCTACCATCCGACATGAACGGCTCTTTGGCAGACCTCCCTCCTTTCCCCTGTACCCCAATAGTTGGAGTATAAAAAAGAATCCATCGAAACCGAATGAGAGCTATGAGCGTTTTATGCTTCAATGTACAGTATTATGTTGTGGTGCTATTAAGCTGTACAAGACTGTTGCATCCCCAAGCAGGGAGCGGAAATCCCGTCCTGCCTTCTCTTCCCCAGCGCACCGGCAGAGATCGGTTTGTCAGTCAATCCAGTTTGTGCCGAGTTTGTCACTTGTTTATTGCCGCTGCCTAGAATATTGTAGATACATATCTTTATAATTATGTTTCAGATCATGAAGTCTATCGACGAGATCTACAATCTACTACTATTCGTCTGTTGTACAGTGAGCCAAATCTACATGGTGTTCCTGCATCCTCAAAAAGTCCAAGAAATCCTACAAGCTATATCTACCACTGAGAATGCGCCTTACAAAAATATATCTCCGAAATCCTTATTCTGGATAGCGTTTTGTGTAATCAGCATAGAAGCTATTGCAGTTCTAACAGCCGATACTATTCTTTGGACTGATATGGTAGGATTCAAACTGTATCAGTTCTACATTTTAAGGAACGTACAGTACTATCAGACAGATATGATGCTGTTGTTAGAGATGTGGTTGTGCATTGAGCAGAAATGTAGATTCAAGCACTTGAATGTTCAACTGGACGATATTTTGAAGAAATTCAATGTTGACGCTAAGAAAGCTTCGAAAGGCCTAAACAGCTTTCAGGTTCGTAATAAAATGCTCATAAGGTACAGTAGCATGAGTCATTGCTATTGTAAAAGGTTGTCAATGCCTCACATACACTATTACAATAACATAAGTTGAATCTGCCCGTTACCCTCTTTTGGAGTTACTAATGAAAAAGTTTGTGATTCTATGAAGCGCCTGGTTGAATGTCATAGTAATTGAAACAGCACAATATATATATTTCAGTATTTCTTTAGTTTGGATGTGTACTATGATCAGAAGGTGGTTCTAGATAGCGTCTAAATTCCTTTAACTCCATTCTCTTTAAAACCTCATATTTCGTGCACCGTTTTTAATTACAGTATCGATACAAAAAGTGGGGTATTGATATACGAGTATTCCTTCTACTACAGAAGCACAGAAAATTTTGACCAGTTCTCCACAGCGTTTATCACTTTGTCGTTCCAAGAAAAATTGCGCCAGTTTACCTTTCTTTCAGCTCCTGAACTAGATAAAAATCAGCACCAAATCAGGTGAATAAGGAGGGTGTTCCATCGGTTTGAAACCGAAATCACGAAGCTTTGCGATTTATGTCCTGCAAGAACATAACCCTTTCGGCCCAAATCAAATTCCACAATATCTGTCCACAATTTTTTGTCTAGGTAATCAGTGAAAATGATACCACTACTGTCCGAAAACACTGAAACGAATACCTTTCCGTCGAAATTTCTTCGGTCTTCGCGACCCAGACTGCTTCCATTCCATCTGTTGTTGTTTTGTCTCAGGAACGTAGAAATATACTCAAGTTCTGCCTATAGTGACTAGACTGCTCAAAAAGTTCATTTCCACCTGAACCTGAACATGAATGATGTTATAAATGGGATCATATGATATGTTCAGGGTCCCAGCTATACATTTTTTTTCAATTCGACGGTCTACTAATATCAAATCATGAACTGCATCGACATTTTCCGGGATTGACACTGAAACGGGTCTTCCAGGTCTCTCATCATCTTGAATGGATAACTTTTCTCTTCTGAATCAAGTAACCCAATTTTTTACAGTGGTACTTAAAAAGGGTGATAGCCATGTCCTCATAAACTTCCTTGCCCCGTAAATCTTTTGAATAGAGGTACTTAATGACGGGTCTATATTTCATTTTATCCATTTTCATGCTCGCGGAAGGAATGATTTCGTAAACTATACTAAGTGACATATAAATCCGAACACCCAGTTTAAATGGTTTTATTTTAATAAAAGTTGGTGAATGTATTTATCTTACTGTAAATAACAAGTGAAAAAATGTTCAGCCTTATCAGTTGGACATTCCGGTTTTTATACTGACATTCTGGGATCAGGAATGGAACAGTATTGTCTTTAGTGACGAGTCTCGATTTTGTTTAGGCATGCACGATGGTCGTGCCAGGGTTAGTAGGCGACGTGGTGAAAGGAGGAATCCACAGTTTTTTGTTGAAAGACATGTTCATCACACTGTTGGAGTTATGGTTTGGGGTGCTATAGCTTATGGTTCCAGGTCACCTTTAATCTTCATCGTTATATCCACGAAGTTATAGAACCCCATCTTTTACCCTATCTTGACACCCTGGCAGATCCAACTTTCCAACAAGATAATGCCCGACCACATGTTGCAAGAGTCACAATAGACTTCTTTCAACATAATGATGTCACCTTGTTACCATGGCCACCAAGATCTCCCGACTTATCCCCAATTGAGCACGTGTGGGATATGATGGGTAGGAGATTGTTCAATTTGCAACGTCCTCCTCAGACTCTAGAAGCACTTCGAGAGGAGTTGCTGGTTGCCTGGAATGAGGTACCACAGGAGGACATTGACCACCTGATCAGAAGCATGCCTAGGCGCGTTGGAGAATGCGTAGCACATCAGGGTGCATCCACACATTATTAAAGGTCAAAGGGCTTTAAAGCAGTGCAATCATTTTGAAATTTTTATCATTTACTTATTATGCTTCATTAAGTACTTATACAAAATTTTATTAAAATAAAACCATTTAAACTGGGTGTTCGGATTTATATGTCACTTAGTATATTTCTCTCGTCTTGATTTCTAAAGGGTGTCTCAATAAGAGAGCCCGATTTCATTTTCAAGAAAAACATGAAGGACATCCGGTAAATGGCCACCACGAAACCTCTGGCACAGGGTCGGTTGTTTCTTAAAATTCTGGATAATGTTATCGCTCAACTATGGCTGTATTTCGCCGATAACGCGCCGTATCTCTTCTTTAAGGCGTTCAACTGTTTGTGGCTTGTTCGCATACACGTTTTCCTTCACATAGCCCCAGAGGAAGAAGTCCATTGACGTTAGATCGCACGATCTTGGTGGCCAATTTTGATCGACAAACCGACAGATGATACGGTCTGGAAGCTTGGTCAGCAGCAACACCATTGTTTCGCTTGTCGGAAGAACTCCACATCAATTCGATCCAACTCGGGCCAAAGAAACTCGGTTAACATTTCGCGATACCGCACACCATTAACAGTTACCGCAGTTCTAGCTGCATTTTTGTTGATAAAATATTACTTAGCAACATGTTTTTTAGATTTTTTTTTTTGGAAAAATTAGATGCCGTTATGATACTACTTATAAAAATGTGTTGCTTCAGAATGCTTAAACTTATTGATATGAAATTTTGCAATGACGCTTATAATAAATTATGTTTTGTTCCAAATGGGCAAAGCTAAGTAGATATCAATACCCCCTCGTACTCGCACACCGCTGATACGAGCACCGAAGGCCGGTAAGTGGAGCGTGTAATCGCAGTGAGCCGTCAAAATGTTCGTTTCCATTGTTTCTGTTGAACTCCCTGATTTTTGTCTGTTTTAATTATGATTACAAATATACTAAGTGACATATAAATCCGAACACCCAGTTTAAATGGTTTTATTTTAATAAAAGTTGGTGAATGTATCTATCTTACTGTAAATAACAAGTGAAAAAATGTTCAGCCTTATCAGTTGGACATTCCGGTTTTTATACTGCTTTTTTTTAATTCACTAACGCTCTAAAAATGAATATTTCAGCCGCAGTAAAGAATCAACGTTGGCGGATTTTGGTTCTTGACATCCTTTACGATCAGTTACGATGCCCAGAGTACGGAGACCTGTACGATTTCGTCAACCCTAGTGAGTTTGATAGGGGCCGTATAGTGGGACTTCGGGAAGCTGGACTTCCTTTTCGGGCAATTGCAGTTAGAGTGCAAAGAAGTGTAGACACTGTGGTTAGGTGTTGTCAGGCATGGCTTCGAGAAGGCCGTACGCAAAGAGCAAGGGGCACTGGACGCCGCCAGTAGATGGTCTATGGGGATTCGGTCTCAAAACTTCCAAAATCCGCCACCAGAGGCGCTGGCGTCGCGCGCCATTGACAGGTTGTTGGACGGAATCTGTATTCATGAGTTGGGGATTCCGCCGCTAGATGGCGCTGTCAAACCAAACGGAATCTGTGTGTCATTGGACACCTGTCATGCGTCATTGGGCATCTCACGCATAGATGGCGTTACACGTCATCTGTCATACGTCATTGGACACCTGTCATTGATGGGTTGAGCATCTCGCGCATAAATGGCGTAGATTTGTTTGGCGGTGTACAAACCTAACGGAATCTATGCGTCATTGGACAGCTGCCATTGATGGGTTGGGCATCTCGCGCATAGATGGCGCCGATGTCGCACCTGTCTGGTGTTGGCGTGGATTACGGGGGGCAACGTGTATACAGGGGTGCATCGAAAAATAGCGGATCGATGGACCGACGGTATATCGTTAAATCGTATATAGCAAGGCGTGACCTAAATAGCGTGGTGGGCTCCTCTGGTCGGTCGGTCGGTCGGTCAGAATGTCTCATAACCTGTATACGATGTACTGTTATTATTATACAGGATGATACCGTTCAAAATGAAAATAGTATAGACATTCTGACAATTATTTCGCAAACCAGAGGTATTTTCAATAAAACTACAATAATACAGTTTAATATTTTATTGAAAATAGAAAAAACTACATAGGTAATATGATATTTGAAAACCAGTGGCGTAGACGTTCAACATTTCTCTGGGTACAGGAAAATTGTCCGTTGGTGTGGCATGGATTGGAATCAGCAACAAAGTTTCCAGTAGCACACGGTGTACCATCATACTTGCAAACATCAATAATGTTGGGAAAAACACCAAAAATGTGACATTTCTTGAGTAAAAAGTTTGCTTTCTGTTCTCCACGAACGTAGACATAGTCAGCCGCATATATCACCTTATTTTTAATTATTTCATTTAACTTGGAATATTTAACGTCGCCGGAAGAATATTTAAGCCCATGGAAATTCTTCTCCAAGTAAGCGACAGTTTTCTTGTCTTTAGTATTTAATGTAGAAAAAGGTTGCGGAGGTGTAAAGATGTAATGACTTTTCTTGAAACCAATTTCGATACATAGTTCTTTAGGTACGAATAATCCGTCAACTGTAAAGCCTTGAATGTCAACAAACGCGATCCTCATGATGTCTGATGCGGAACTGAGAGTCCTTCGTTGCTTACGAGATGGTTTTAATAACTTCGGTGAGGGGGAAGTACTCGATTAAGCAGTCATGTATAATGATGCAGTAGGCCTTGGTGTTGGTTGGAAAGCCAGTATCGGCTTCGATATCCAATCTAACATCAACAGTTGATGATTTCATGGTTTCCTCTTGTTTGGAACAGTCAATAACAAACAAAGCGCGATTTTTAAAAGCGGTATAATCTAAAAGACATCTCTTCAGAGGAGAAGAAGAAGTTGTATAGCTGGTTTGAAAGTCGCTATAGTTGAAATGAGCTTCAGTAAAGTGATTGTTTGCAAAGTCCAATTGCATACGTTCGTTGGGATAGTATTCACCATTTAAAGATACTCGAATACTAGCAGCATTCACGTGATCAAA